GGGGGGGGGGGGGGGGGGGGGGGGGGGGGAGAGCAAAAGAAGTAGTTAGAAATTCAGGAAAGAACTGGAGAATCAGCAACAGGGAGAAAGAAGACAGCAAAGCAGTACAAAGAAAAGTAAACTAAAGAAAACGTGAACTTATGAAAAAAGCGAAATCAAAGATTCGAAACCTATGAGTAAGAACTAAAAAAGCAAAAATAAATAAAAATTAAGCTTGTACGGGTGGAAATTGTTTTAAAAAAGCCATCTACTGTAGTGGGCTTCCCTATTTATGATGCTGATACTTAGATAAATTTGAGAGCTCTCAACTTTACCTACGCAGCTTTACCTTATTCATTCTCAGCTGTACCTAAGCGTCAGCTTCATAATGGGGAAGTTCCCTACTGACGACTGGTTTTTTTTAGGACGATTTCCATTCGCATACATTCATTTTTTTCTTTTGCATTTACTTTTTTCTTTCTTTTTTCTCACAGGTGCAAACTTTTCTTTGATTTTGCTTTTATGCTTGCGCCCAGGTTTGCTCTAATTTACTTTTTTTTTTTGTAGTACTTTGTTTTCTTTTTCCACTTAGTAACTGCCCTTACCTTTCACTTAAAGATGCATTCTGTTTGGCACGATCCCAACGCCGGAATCAGGCAAAATAAAAAGACAAAATTTTAAGCGATGTTTGCTGTCGATCTCTAACTCCGAAAATTTTAGACTCAGCCCACATGTACGCCTAGATTTTACGTATGTTAATGTTTTTGGACGTTCCGACGATTTTCTGCACATAGCAATTAGCGAAGCATTGAACATTTTTAAAAGTAAACGCCTACTAAACAGAGTTGCACAAAACGCATGATCACACCACCTCCCCTGGTGCGCATCACTGTTTTTAATGTTTTGTTTCCTACACTGGCGATTTTGACGCTTTTCTGCTGTGGAACATTTTCAAGCCTTTTATGGGTTTTTAGTCGCATTCCAGGAAATCTTGAACTGTGAAAAAGGGCTTTGTTTGCAAGATGCGCGCGAGGGGGAGGGGAGAGGGAGGAAGGAGGAATTGAGTAATCATTTATCTCGCTTAGGAGACCTCAGTTGTCCTTCCAAGGCTGTGATTGAGAAAAGAGGAGATTAGTGTGGAGCAAAATGCTTCACTTTTTTCTACTGGTTTTCAAATTGAACAAGTATCATTCTGAATTGTCAGTAATGAAAGCGGTGGTTGTTGCAGATATTTATTGCTTTTTTTGTGAATTCTACAGAGATTTTTCATGCTAAGGGCAAAATGCTTATTCTGCCTTTACTGAAACATTTTTTTAGAGCGATGTTGGAGCGAATAATGTCGCGACGCTGGCTGGAGCTTGACTATAAAGTGCTGGCACACGCAATCAATCACACAATTATGTTCGAGAATCTCCTCTGCAAAAGATTTCCAGCAAAATCGGAATTCAACTTCGAAAAGGTGCTTCTGTTATCACCGCCTCCCGTGCTGCCGACTCGAAACTTCGCGTTCTTTTTTTAACCGCAGAAAGTATTCGAAAATAATTCAAATGCTATCACTTGGGGCGTTGCGTTGCTTTTCTTTTCGGACGTTGTTTGTGAAGCATGCTACTAGCATTTCCAACTTTCTAACATTCATGTTCAATTTATCATCGAAATAGTCAGCATTTTTTTGTGGTCTGGATTTCTCGATCCAATAGCGAGTGTTGCCTTTTTCAGATTATTTGGAAAGCATTCGATAAGTACATGGATGTGTTCGTAGCTGCACAGAAGAAAAATTTGGACAGCTTCCTGGAGGAATGCGTGCTGCGAATTCGAAGTGGTGCTGAACGACCAACACGCGAAACAGCTCCACAAGCGTATCCGCTTCCTTCTTCAGCCGATATGTTTCTGTTGCTGAAGAAAATTATTGCTGAATCGACGAAACTTAGCTCAAATCCAAATGCTCTCTTAAGGTTCGATGTTTTCTGTTCACTTTCTCCGTGGTGGCTTTCTTAATGCTGTTTTTATACTAGTACCATTTAGCAGTCTGCTTTATCGTTTGTCTCCCATTCTAGCCATATGGTTACTTTTACTTTCTGGTTCTTGGAAAAACTCGTTTTAATTCAGTTGATGAAGGAATTTTATTTGACTAAAATATATTTGTTCAGATGCTGGACTTTGTAAGTTTTGGTACTTCCGGATTTTTCGTTTTGTGATTTCGTGAAAATGTGTTTAATTTGCATA